CTTGTTACCACCAGAGCTCATCAATAGTGGTAGCAGGAGAAATTAATAATTAAATACCGTCAATTAGTATGGTAAAAACAATACTTGAACAGTATAATGTGACAGGACGAATGAGCCGAAAGAATTCTTATTGTTTGTGTTGCTCTTTTATGTGCTCTTATTTATTGAACCACTGATTCATTAATATCGACCAATTGTCTTTTCGTTGATCTTTTCGTTATAGATGAATCAATCGTTTCATCAAAAATTCTAGTTTGATTTGGAATTCGGAGTAGTTGACTTTTTTTCTCAATTCTGATTTAAATTTAAACTATTGATTTGTTCAAATTTCTATTTAGAAGATTTGTCTTTGTCTTTGATACGTTACATTTTCGTTTATCGACTTTTCAAGCCTCGTTGACTTGCATTAAAATTTCAAACAAAGAGAAAAAAAGCAACTAGATTTTTTTATCCAAAGTAAAGCTGTGTATCTTTTAAACCATGTGATCTGTCGATGAACGATCCAAAACTTTAAATCGAGTGTATTGTTGTTTCAAAATAATTTTTTCAACGCAATCAAAGATGCTTACACATGAAACTGACTATGTATTGTTTTAAATTTTTATTCAACAAAATCCCTAAAAAGGATCAGATTCTACAACGGATCGATTATAAATACCCTTCAGCTATAATTGCAGAGCTTACGAGGGAACCTTTTCAACTGTCCAATCGCTTTTGAGTTCGAACTCAGTGTGAAAGATAGACCCCAGTGAGGTATGAAAAGGCCCAAAAGGATAAGTGCCCATAGGCCTTCTGTCCAGAGTTATAGGCATTTTACTGGATTTTTAGCCTATAGCACAGTATATACCAAAAAATCGGATGACAATATTTCGAGCTGAGATTTTGTCCAAAGATAGGTCTATGTATCAATAGAATGCCCTGAAAATTTCAGCTCAAAAGAATGTTTCAATCTCGAGATATTGAACACCCAAAAGCCAAAAAATTCTAGCATCATTCGCGGGATATGCGCGGTTTTTGGGTGTTCAATATCTCGAGATTGAAACATTCTTTTGAGCTGAAATTTTCAGGGCATTCTATTGGTACATAGACCTATCTTTGGACAAAATCTCAGCTCGAAATATTGTCATTCGATTTTTTGGTATATACTGTGCCATAGGCTAAAAATCCAGTAAAATGCCTATAACTCTGGACAGAAGGCCTATGGGCACTTATCCTTTTGGGCCTTTTCATACCTCACTGGGGTCTATCTTTCACACTGAGTTCGAACTCAAAAGCGATTGGACAGTTGAAAAGGTTCCCTCGTTAGTCATCTAATGTACATGAATTTTATCGACGAATCTCAGCAATGTTAAATCATGAGATGCATTTCGTGTTATTGATTGAATAGAAGATATATAAAAAAATCAAAGGGCAAGACGTATTGTAGACAATTGTATCGTAGAAGTAACGCTCTCGATGCTAATAGTAGCGAGCAAATATGTCGAATGAATGAATATAGCAGCTGCTTCACTATTTATAGTCCAACATGAAGAAGATTGATATTTGGTTATCTTTTGTTTAGTCTATATTTCCTTTCATCAAGCGCTTTGATCTACGATAATAATGATATCTAAATCTTCAGTCATTTATTGTTTACTTTTTCGGCATTTTTTCTCTTTCATGATCTTCATTTAGTTATTTAATGTTTTCATCACTTGAGATAGTAGTATTTTTCTTTTCTATTTAATTTTACCCTCACTTTTTCATGATAATATATTTAAAAATACTCAACAAATATGGACAAATCATCTTGTATCGATCAGCCTATACTTATGTATGACAGGAAGCGAATCAATAATGTCAAGAAAAATTGGATTTGTCTTCTTTACTTTTCTTTTTCATTCTTCAAAATATCAAGTATATATTTTTTTCGTTATTCTCAATAGGTTTAAGGAATGAAAAACGAATTTTTTCAAGATAAGCATAAATGAATCGATTATTGATTATTGTTATTTTTATTGTAATCAATCAATTGTCTGATTTATTTCTTTAGAAAGGTATATGACATGTTATTATTATGTACATGAAAAAAATATAATAGTTTATACGAAAAATATAATTCATGTGAACTTTTATTTGCTTGAAATTACAGTAAAAAATATAAAGGATTACCAATTCAAAATAAAAAAAAATTATTCTCTAGAGATGACATTTTTCAAAAATTTTATTTTTAAAATATGCTCTGAGTCATTATTGAATGATGTTTTAAGGTGTAAAGCTCAAAAAATCAATGTTCTGCTCAAGTTTTATATTTATATTTGTAGTTTTTTTTACCTCTATTTGCTTTTAACTCATTCGTTTAACGCTTAAGCTCAGCAAAATGCTATTTATAGTCTTTTAACACCTTGAATACATAGGCTATGCAAGAATTTCATCATGATGTATAGACTTATTGAACGCGAGGAAAAAATTCCAGCAGAGTGTATATTTTTTAACGTAGAAAATCTTCTAAAGCTTATCATTGTATTGAGAGCATTTTGTGAAAACTTATTCTCATCAATGTTTTGAATGGAAAGTAAATTCTACTAGATTCTTTAGCCATTTCTGTTATTGTTAGAAAAGTACGATGTGTTAAATTTTCTCGTTTGAACAAAATGTACATTCAGTTAATTTCTATCTAATTCAATTTTAATTTAACTCAGTGACAAAACTAGTAATAACTGCTATTGTCAATTGTCTACTTTCTAAACTCTATATTCTCTCGTGCTTTCACACTTAGAATTTCTAAAAACTGTCATGATGGCATCGTAGAGCTCATAAACGAGCTATTCGTAGTCGCTACAAAGCAAATCGTGGAGCTCATGAACGAGCTGTTCGTAGTCGCCAAATGGCGAATTGTATTGCAATTCATATTGAACCGCTTGTGGACACCATACAATGAATCAAATTTCGATTGATAAAGCTAGACTACCACGTACTTGCTACTCATTGTCATGTCGAATTCACAACCTAGAATAACATATAGTAAGGCACAAAGATCTACAAAACATAAATAAGAGCCAATATTAATATATAAATGTAACTTATTTTTATACCCAAACGGTATTCTTTTTTCAATTTGCTCAAAATTGTGGTTAAAATTGAACTGAAATGAAAAACAAAATGATTGAAATATATCTTTCTTTCTTTGTAGTATTAAAAAGTAGAATAAGTGTCATTGTTCCATTATATTCCTTTTCCTGACTCTCAATGTTCAATAAATACATTTTTGTTCCTACTGATTGATATCAATCCAACACAACATAATGCAACATTGAAATGATCCACTAACATTTGAATACTCTATGTTTAGTCTATGGTCACTTTCACATATCACTCATTAATCATCCAATAAAGAAATGGGAACATCAACGATGAGGGTGTGGGTGTGGGTGTGGGTGGGTGTGGGTGTGGGTGTGGGTGTGGGTGTGGGTGTGGGTGTGGGTGTAGGTGTGAGTGCGGATGTAAGGGTGAGTGCAGAGAAAGAGACACACACACCCACCCACACCCACACCCACCCCCACACCCACACCCACACTCACCCACACCCACACCCACACCCACCCCACACTCACACCCACACCCACACCCAACTCTGATTTTCGACGGCTAAGTAAAACTTGATCTGCTCTACTTATCGTTTTTTGGTTCTCATTTTGTACTTCTCAATTCATTGAATACTTCCATCATTACAGTGCAGATTCTAATTTATTTTTCCTTCTTGAAATTTTCATACAATACTAAAGCAATGAATCATAAAAGTATTCCGGAAAAAAACCAGTTGTTTATCAACCGCTTTAGTATAGATTACTGAGAGATCCCTCACAACCGACAAACTATAGGCAAATTATTTTAAATGAATTCTAGATTTTGTCTTCTTTTTTTTTTAAATTTTCTCAATCTATATAAAAATCTCTTCAATTGATTTTTTCCTATCAGCTGTCATAATTCTCATCATTATTCCGGTTGAATATGTAGCAAAACAAAATTCTATTTTTTTTTTGTAACATAAATTAAAATCACAAGAGTATCTGTACACGATGGCTACCTATCCTATCGTTCTATATACAATCAAATTAATAAATCAAAGATCGATTTAAAATTTGAAATTGAATGATTTTTTGATAGAAATTACAGAATTCTGAAAATGATCATTAAAGAAATTCAACAACGATTGAAAAATCTCGTCAGCTTTTACTCGATTAAATAACTCATCAATAGATTTGATATCTATATATGACATGATTGATTCATTCTTCTTTAGGTTTCTTTACTGGAAACTGCGTGCCAAGTCAAGAGAATACGATGATTAATGTTTGTGAAATAAATGCTTGGTGTCCTGAAGAACTGTCAAAGTCTACGTAAGATTTTATTATCATTACTTTCAAAAGTTAGAATGATTCTTTTCTTTTTCTATTGAAAGCGATTATAAAATCAATATTGACGATTTACTCAATATCACAGTTTTTATAAAAACAGCTGTCTCATTTGCACAATTCAACATCAAACTGTTCGTAGTTTTTTATCTAGTAACATATTTCTAAGCTATATCTTTCAAATATCTCTGTAGACGAACAGTCAAACAGGATACTAAATTTTCATGTCGATTTAACAGTGATACTGATCCACGTTGTCCTATCTTTCAAATTGGATATATTATTAAAAAGCTTCAAGAAAAAGATCGTAGAATAAATCTGAAGGCTTTATACAACCAAGTAAGTATTAAGAATGAACAAAATTTCAAATGTATTTTAGATTGAAAAACTCGGATACTTGTCAGTAATGTTTTTAATAGGATTTAAGTGTATGTAAGTATAAACAAAAATTAGAAAACTGACGATACAAACTAAAACTAATCAATTGATTCAACGAATGAACAATGTTTTGTTGATACTAAAAGGTTTGCTTTCTTTCATGTAAAAGTAAGGAAGAATTTCCCTGCCTTTCGAGTACTTTGCGTAATAGACACATGGATAGATGTCGGTCAGTGTGTAATCACCGAGGTTTGAACAAAGTACGTTGTCGATATCTGGTGAACAACGTAGCCACTCAGGCATAACGGTTGAAAAGGACTAGAGTTACTTTTTCTTGGAAAGCTCAATTCTATTCTGAGCATTATCTGAAACTTGGTAGAATGATATTTTATATGATGCGTAGCCATTTTGCTTTGATATAGTTGCTCAAAATATCAAGTGATACTTGAACCATGTGTACTGCAACTCTTTTTTAGGGGGGCCTAATTCAAATTGAACAAATATGGGAATGTAATTTTGATTATAATGTAAAAAATCAAGAATGTTTTCCAATTTATAAATTCAATTTATTGCAAAGTGGTGATGATAAACTATCGCCTGGTGTCAATTTTCGGTACATTGATATGCATTGGTCTTGTTATAGTTCTTAATACATTCTAATTTTTATAATAGATTTGTTGAAAGATATCGTTCAAATGAAATAGATTATCGAACAACGACAAAAGTGTATGGACTTCGTTTTGTTCTCACAATAGCAGGTCATGGTGGACGATTCGATATACGTCGTTTATTTCTCGCTATCGGTATGTATTTACTGTCTTTGAAAAAAGCTTTATGTTTAATATAATTTGGATGAA